ATAATGAAAATGGTCATAATTTTAAAGTACTAAATCATGCTAAATTAAGTCTAATAAGTATTAGTTACATGATTAAACATTAAAGAAAAATTAAAATTAGTTATGTATTTTAAATGTTTGAACCGATGTAAAACTAGAAAACAATTTTATTTTTTTTAATAACTAAAGAACAAAATTTCAACATTATTGTCAATCTTAGTGTTGAATTAATATTTTTTTTGTTAGCGTCAGTACTAATTTGGTTTTGATTTGAGCTTTATTAGAGTTATTAATATCTATGGACTATAACCTTTATTGGATCATTCAAAATTCTAAATCTCAAAAGTTTGAAATAATATGTTAAAAGATAAAAATGATAAAAAAAGTATAAGAAATATTTAGAAATTATATCAAAGTAAATATTGTTGTGTATAAAATAAATTTTAAAAATTAAATAGAATGTCAGGTTGGTCACGGGTTGACTCTTTTTAGTTAAAAGAAACCAACCCAAGTATAATTAGGTTTCTGCCAATACCAAACTAAATCAAACCAAATCATTAGTTGAGTTTATTTTTCGATTGAAATTTTAACTCAATTTACAATTTGATTCAATTTTTGGTTTAATTCTGTACATCCCTACTATTTTCTAATCTAGGTTATACAAAATATTTAGATTGAAAATTGAATTAACTAAAGCAATATAAAAAGAGTCATTTTTTTCTCTTTTTTCTTACCCTTTATACTCCATCTTCCTAGTGTGATTATTTTAATTATCTTTTTTTTTTTTTTATATTAGAGAGAAAGAGGAAAAGGTGGTATTTGTTAATTTGTTTTTATTGTCTCAAGAGCCAACAAGGTGTAACAAAAGATGAGTATTGGGAGTATCCTTTTTCTGTTTTTGAGAGGACACAATATCTAAAAGAATATATCATTTCAATACTTCCAAGGTAATTGCTTTGATTCAATTTGACTTTCCTAACCTAATTGCCTTGTACCTTATACTCGACTTGTAGTACTAATTTTTAATATATTAGTAAAAAAAATAGTATACTAGTAGAGTTACTTCGAACTATTCCTTCAAGTCCTTTAGATCAACTTTGTATGAGATCTCACTTATTGGTTTGAGTTAGTGGTGAAGTGGTGGAACTGGTTCATGCATCCTTAATTAAAAGTTTTGAGTTTGAGTTTTGAGTATGGAAAATTTTTGTTGGGAGTCCACTTCTAAATGGGTCTACAGTGAGCGGTCCGAATCTAATCGAGGGAAAAGAACACTTGTATTCCAAAAAGAGAAACTATTTACAAGTTGCTACCCCCTTATTTTCATATCTCCCGTTTTTAACTATTAATTCGTATTTACTATTTGATACCATCAAAGTATGTATATACTCTGATGGTATCAAAGAGAAAGAAACAATGATTTAGTGAAAATACTACTCGGTTACTTCTTAATATATATATATATCAAGGAGGAAGAGACAGTGTTTCAGTGAAAAAAACTGTTCAATTACTTCTTGATATTATCAGAGTATATATATACTCCGATGGTATCAACAATGGTTTAGTGAATAGAACAAGGGGGCAGTTGGGTAAATAGTTTGGCACAGGTCCAATCAAGGTAAATATATTAAGTTGAGTCCAATTTGGGTAAATACTATGCCTCCTGAGTCCAATTTGTATGTTTTTCCTTTAATTGAGGCTCCCCTGTGAGCTCCGAATATCGGATGAAAAAAAAAACTTATTGCTTCACTGACTTGCTGAGAAACGCTTTTCTTTCTCCTTTTTTTTTTTTTTGCATAATTTCTTGTTCTAAATATTAAACGTTTTGTAATGTGAATTTATTCTACGAGTTTGATGTTTCTAGCAAAATAAATAAATAGAAATTAAGTGATAAGTTATTTTTAAATTTTTTAATCTGAATAAGTAAAAGTAGACCATCAAACTAACCCAAAATTTAGTAATTGTTGGAATTATTTTCTCACAATTATTGATTTTTCATGTGGCAGAATGCATCATTCATGATAGGTCCCAAAATTAAAGGTGACTTTAATATTGCACTGCAAAATTTCAAAGTGTCCAACATGAGTTTGTCACATTCAAAACCAGCAAATGAGGTTTAGGGGGACCATCATATCATAGCTATGTGGAAATACAACAATATAATTATATTAATGCACAATTGCTTACGATGTGAAAAATAAAAGTACTAAAATTTAAAACTTCTTAGTAAAAAATATTTTACTCATTACAAATTTGAATTAGTAAGTCAATAGATTTTGAATACTTAAGGTAGAGAAGGTAACAACATAATCTTTATTTTACATAAGAAATGTAATCTCGTTATATTTTCAAGTTATAGAATTTAAATTCTCGAACTCATATATATTTTTACATTAATAATAAATTGTGTTCTTCCACTAAAAATGTTGATTATAATAACTTGAAGGAAATTGAAAAATCATAAGATAAGTATGTGTTTGGATTTTAGGTAACAATGTCCTTCATGGCATTAAACATGATGAGCCCCCTTTTACGACTATATATAAATGAAAAGGATTTATAAAATTATGCATGTGAATTAGGTCAAAAGATTCTGAAAATCTAAATTCCATTGGCTATATATGTTAATATCTTAGATCCCCATTCCAATCATAATTACTATATCTTATCTTTCCTCTCCCTATCCTTTGATCTATTTTTTTTTAATGCGTCATTTCAAAAATTATAATAAGAAAGATGTTTTTATTAATTTACTTTTTAATACCTTTTTATTTATGTGTCTTATCTATAAATATCAAAAATATTAAAATGAATTAATGAAGGACAAAACGAAAATAATAATAATTAATTTTATCTTGAGTTTTTTGTAAATTGACATTAGTAATGCAGACAGGTAATATAAGATGAAGGAAGTATTTATGAGATTGATGATTTATACCGTCGATCTCAAGTAGCTTGACATTGAGCATAGTAATAAGTTAGTTGATTTTTTCTCAAACTACATTGTTAAAAGACGGATTTAAAATATGTACTTAAAGAATAATTCATTGAGTTCGAAATTTATTATTTATTTGTACATATATAGTAAACTTTTAACATAACATTATTGTCTCATTTATAATTTTATTTTGGAATAAAGCTTTAAAGGCTAGAGTGTGAGAGGACCATTTAAAAAGCACTTCTTCTAAGAGACCCCATGAACAACTATTCCATAGTTAGGAGGAAGTTGATATGTGAGCTGTCGGCATTTGAATCATCTGACTGAATTATTATTATTCTTTCTTTTATAGTTATATTATATAGTAACAAGAAAGCAAGTACCAAAATTAAGTGTCCATATGTATATATGGCTGATAAATCAACAAGATAACTGGCTTAATTATAGGTACTAATAAGAAAAAAACAAAATTGTATGAGCTCTTTTTTCATATTTTAGACCCCACGCATCAGACGAATAATTCTTGATTAAGATTAATTCAAAATTACATACCACCTGGTGCATGCACCTAAGTAAATGTGTTTTTTGTGTCATATTTATTTATTTATAAATCGTGGTTAATTTATACAATTCTTACTTCAGTTTTGGTACTTTACTATAGTAGATCACCGTGATTTGGTGTTGTAGTGGATACGAATAATTTCCATTAAAAATTGGGTTGATATGTAACCCAAATTTACCCGAGAATAATCTTGTCAAAATATTTTTTAAAACAAATATGTTATATATCGTCATAGTAAAGAAAAAAAATAATTTTATCAGCCACAAAAATATTGTAAAACAACTCATAATGAAAAATTAGTAAAAATTAGGTCGTGTTGGGTCTTAACCCATTAACCAACTCATTTTTGACCAAGCAAATTTGGGTTGGGTTGAGTGGATCTTTGACCCGTTTATTGTCTTGATCCATTATGCCCGCTCAAATTTGACCCAACCCACTCAATTATCACCCCTGTTCAGGATAACTCTTAACAATTGGAGAACAAATCAGGGTTCTTTATCACCCCTCACTGGGACCATAATCATCATAAAACACCAAAGAGAAAGGGTTTATTTTGTTGTGTTATGAATAATTGTGTAGCAGAATGTACGCCCTATGTCATGCAATAATATATGGGTTTTTTGGTTTCTCATGTTTGGTACCCACATTGAAACCCAACTAATTTACATTGACGCTGGCTAGGATCCATTCTGGAATAAGATTTTTTCATACTCAAAACTTGAAAGCAGAACCTTGATTAAGGCAGGAGGAGGCTCATTGGCTACACATCTTTTGATGGTGCAAGGACAAATGATAAGGTTACATCATACAACTGTAAAGCTGCCACTACATGAAAACTAGGAACTCTTCTGACAAGAACATACATTCTTGCATTAATCCAAGAAACGGTATAGTCAACAAGAAAACTGGAGCTAGAGCCACAGAAAGAAATAAACAAGGGGCAAGATTTACGTGAATGAAATTCAATAACAAGCCACCGTGACAAGAATTTAATGATAAAGGGGTTGTCATTTCCTACCATATGTGAAGCGGTTTCTAACAAATACTCATGCAATAAGACTTCAAGGCAGATCATGGGGAACAAACCAAATATGTATTTAACTTTGATGAAACAAACATTCAATAAAGATAGACATCTCTCATTTATGCTGAGGTAAGTTAAAATGTACAATATCAGCACAACAACATGCGCTTCATTTATGCTTTCTTGAAGCTGAGCATTTGACTTGGCTTTGGGACAAAATATAAGATGACAGTAAAGAAAGAGCTCTCACCTCTTTGAGCCATAAGTGCAGGACATGCACTTACTACTCCAAGATGCATCTTTTGCTCTTGAAGATGAGCACCTTGTTGTAAGAGATGACCATATAACTGGTTACCCTAGTCAATAATAAAACATGTCAAATTTACTTTATCAAGACTGAACCATGTATAACATAGCTGCCCAAAACTTTCAAAGTCACCATCTCCATTCAAGTGTACATGTTTCAGACGGGATTTTTTTGGCGGTTGAGCAATAGAAGCTTGATATTTGTACTGTGGCCTTCTCTTGGGATTAAAATGTAGAACCTTCACGAGGAAGACTTGAGACAGTTGTCACATGGATTAGAACCATTCTTGCAGGAATATTGGTCAAAGGACTCTCCAAAGTGTTCAAGTAACAATTTTCTACGACATTCAGTCTGCAAATTTAAGGATAGTGTGATGATTAAGTACACAACATAGAGATGATTCAAGAGACTGTACAGTAACAGAAGAGTTAGCTAGAATAATGAGGACTATGCAAGACACCAAAGCTCTATAGGATATCAATTAACGTACCTTAAGTTCACAGTATTTCTGCATTTTTCGAGCTTGTTCCATGGCCCTCTTCAAGCTTTCCTTTTTATAGCCCTGCCCACTTCTTAGCATGCATACAACTCGACTGAAATCCTTCTTTTGGTATAATATGACACATGTAGCAGGAAGGCCATCTCTTCCTGCCCTTCCAGCTTCCTGATAATAACTTTCAATAGATTTGGACATTGTATTATGAACAACGAACCGCTGAAAATGCAGAAAACTATCAGTCCCCTACCTAATTCCCTGAAATAGCAAACAGTGCATATAATGGAACTTCTAAATGAAAAGAACTTTCACTCTGACTATAACATCAAGAACCTTCATAGAAGATTTCAAGCTAAAATGGCTAACCAAATCTGGCTTGCACCTCTATGGCTTATGCCTTACTCTATATAGGTTTTTTATATTTGTAGCAAGATCACTTATCAATGACATTTGATTAAGAGTCATATTTGGAACATCATCAGTCATCAAAGAGGTCATATTATGGAAAGAAGCAGAGAAACATCATAGTCCACGAGAACTCACAACATCAGGTTTGTCAATTCCCATTCCAAAAGCAATAGTTGCACAAACGATATCAACCTCTCCAGAGCGCCACCTCTTCTGAACTGCAACCCTCTGACGAGATGCTAAACCAGCATGATAGTATACTGTTTTGATTTTGCATTTCTCATTCAAAAATTTTGAGACATCCACACACTCACTTTTTGATAGGCAGTACACAATTCCAGATAGATTCTTGAATCGATCCAGTAAAAGATTCCCAAGTTGCTTGAGTGGCTCTTTGCTCTTTCCAGTAACTTCATACTTTAAATTGGATCTATCAAAGCTGGTCTCAAGGACAAGGGCACGAGGAATTCTTAAAGCACTCAAGATATCCTGCAAAGTGCAGAAAAAGTGAAACTGGGAAAATAACCAGACCACACAAAAGAACAAATTCAAGTAGCTGTCTTACTTCACGGACTGCATGGGTTGCTGTGGCAGTTAATGCCATCACTGGAACATCTGGAAAATTTTGCTTAAGACATCCTAATACTCTATAATCTGGTCGAAAATCATGTCCCCATTGGCTGAGAAACAGGTAAAAGTACAGATCAAATATACCTTAAATCAGCTAAACCATTGACAACACCATGCCTATTGTTTTTCTATTTCTATCAGATTATTTGAAACAGGGACTGCATAATTTCGAATCACTTTCGTGATTCTTTTTACCAAACATATATGAACGCCCAAAACTATGTATTCAAAAAACATAAGGTTGACATAAGCAACAACATCAACAAGAAGAGGATATAGTTTCTTGATGGATTTCCTGTCCCCTCATCTGATACATCAGTCTGCACTATTATAGTTTTACATCTTTACCTCCAAACAGTTAAGATGATTTTAGAATAAGGGCATACCTCACACAGTGAGCCTCATCAATAACAAAACCAGCCAATTGTCCCTGAAATTAGTCCAGTAAAACTTCTATTTACAAACACCACCTAGAAATATTCTGGACTTAAATAAGATAAAATAACTACCCGTGGTGTTATATGCTTACAAAAAACTCACCTTTCTATGCATACATTGTAAGGTTTCTTGAAATGATAAATTTCCAGCTATCCTCTCAGGAGTTACATAGAGGAGCTTGCAGGATGGTACATCTTTCCTAGAAGTAAGAAAAAAGGATGCAAATCCAGAATATGATATTAGGTACGAACTACAGGAATTTCAGGACAGGATTACAATAACTGCTACAACTTTCAATGAAAAGAGTTTGGGGTTTAATGATAATACTTTCTAAAGAAGCCAATAAGTCAGATCAGATAAAATTCTATTTCAGTTGACAAGCCCATTCGAATACTTGAAAAGGCCTCTCATAGTAAAATAATTTAATAGAGGACGGAATAGTCATGACTTGGCATTTGATCTGAAATTATGTCATTAGAGTCGGTCTTAACTGAAAACAAGTGTAAGTTTTAAGGCATTCAGGATTTACTTCATAGCCAAAGGAAAGTGTGTGTGTGGGGGAGATGAGGACAAAAGACCAATAAAGGTATAAATGCTGGCCTCCCCATTTTCTTTATTTGCAAGAGCTATCTTCCAAGCTTTCCATACTTGCGCGTATTTAAAGCAAGCAAATTCTTTTGTTCTGGTGCCACAGGAAACAAGATGAGACCTGCTGAAAGTGCAGTAAGTATTCCTGACAACACATGCATGGTAGGGGCTTGCATGAGTATGCATATTATGGACCATGAGTCATGTGAAGACCATAAAACATGTTTTCTTCTGTGGCAGGCTCAAGAAGTATATTACTAGTCACACTCAAGAAATGTTCTCCTGAAAGTCAATCAGGAAAGTCCATAATTTAGAGGAGTAAATAAGTGGATATGAAGATACACAAGTAAAACCATGCCTTAATTCTCGTAGTACAGCTGCAGTTTGTGATTGAGTTTGTTGGGAATTTAAAAAGGTTGCTGGTATCCCGAACTTGAGGTTAAGGGTGATTATCTGATCCTGAATTAGTGAAAGTAGGGGAGATACAACAATCATAACACCAGGTTGAACAATCGCTGAAAGCTGCATAGCAGAAAAGGAAAACAGAATTAATGCTAACACTAGTCAGACAGAGTCTTGACAAATTAGTAGGATTTGATGGGTGACTGAAATGTCCTAAAGCCCAGCCTTGAATTAAAATATCGACAAAGGTGAAGAACTTTAAGCATTTGAAAACCATTTTTAAGTGCACACATTTGACCTAAAGAATGTAGTAAGAGTAAAGCTTTCTCTGCGTTGCTTTTTGTTTCAATAAGTGCTAACAAAAGTTTATTGATCACAGAAAGGCTAATAAGTATTCTTTTTGTAAAGAGGGCTAACCCAGATACAAGAAGCATACAATGGTAGAGATCCCTTCCACAAAAATATGGTTTTTGGTTAGTTGTCTAGTGGAATAAAAAGATAGGACAAAATTCCATGGAAGCGTGAAGAATATGATAGTACAAGAAAGCTGTCTTGTGTACTTTTTCGTTTAAATAAAGGTTAACTTGGTGCCTATGCGACTGGGTTAACTTTTTAGATTATGATGGTTGAAAAAACCACACTGCATATATATTTTAACAGATATACAGCATATCTGATGAATTAAATATTATGATTTATTAAAAGAAAATTTAAGAACTTGATATGCACCAATAAGAATCTTTCACCACTTCTCCTAACACAATCATTTTCTAATTTTTCCCAACTCAATGGGATTCTTTGCACAGCACATTCCAAGGTAAGTTGATGGGTGAGAAAATTGGAAATCACACAACATCCCATATTTGAAAAGATTGCATACTTCAAGCAAGATGATATGCACTTTCTGGACATCCTTTAAATTTTTTTTGCACATTTACCTTAAGCATGATTTATGTGTCTGTGATAAACAGTCTTATAACCTTTCACAGTGTGATGTGGTGAATAGTAACTGATTTCTCACAAGGAAAGTCAGGACAAGATAACATCAGTTGGTATGACCAAAGGTAGAACATAAACAACAGGACCAGTTACGGAATATTCTAATCTTTTGGCAGACAAGTCTGCAACTTTATATGCATTGGAACTACGACTAACATTTCAAACTAGATTTCACCAACTGCAGGTTCAATATGAATCAAGAAGTCCTTGCAATCATGCATCACTCAAGACAATACTCAGGGAAAGGACCAGCTGTATAATAAAGAAATCTACCTGGTAGCAAAGACTTTTACCACCTCCAGTTGGCATAAGAACAAAGCAATCTCGTTTTTGAAGACATGCTTGACAAGCTTGATGTTGTAAAGGACGAAAGGACCTGTTTCCAAATACTACCACATTTGCCAGTTCAATGTCATCCAACCTTTGCAACTCTTCATAACTAAGGGTTTTGTCCCTGTGATTTGATTCCAAGGGGCACTCCATTTCGGGGGAGACCGATGAATATGAACCTTCAGTAACCACACTCGTATAATCCTTTCAACAAGGGCAGAGCATGGAGTAGGAGGATTTCAGTCAGTACTAGATAAATTGGTTCAGATAGAACAAGATAAAGGGTGATCACATGTCAGCTAAGAGTATATCATATAGCCATTCATTTGGATCTCAGCTATTTGAAATAATTTACAGGACGATTCAACATACCACTGGTCTAATGCAATGCTGCAGTAGAAATGTTGATACTTTAAGAAATAAACAAAACAGTTGATAGAAAAGATCATAAGTCTAAATAGGTACTACCATCGACGTTGAGGCACGGCACCCTGATTGTGGATTCATGCCCTGGTGAATTCTATCACGGCGAATCTTAGAGGTAGAGGGGAGATCCTCTTTGCTTGCAAATCTAATACCCATCTCTTCGCTGTCACTTGAAGAATCCAACAGCACTGCTTTTGCACGCCCTTGTTGTTGGGGTGAATCCTCAATAACATGGACATAGGCGCCAGAATCCTCATCACAATCAACTTCACAGTCCTCACGAGCACCCTTACCCAACATATCAGCTAGAGCTCCACAAGCCTCTGATTCAATTGCTTGCAAATCATCCCAATCCTCAGTGTCTTGCATAGATTCAGCCAGCAACGCAAGAAATTCATCTCCACAGAGCTCCACACTGATGAAATCTCGCCCGTCATCACCTTCACAAGTGAAAAAAAATAATGAAAACTGTAATAGCTCCACCAATAAACTCCTAAATAAGAACCATGTAATCAAGTAAGCCTAAATTCAAACCTAGTCAGAATCACCTGCATGAATCTTTTCATAATTAGACAATAACTTGAGTTATTTTTTCTTTTAAACATATATAATCCTGATTCATGAAGCAATAATTGTACTAGTTCTGGGCTGCGGCGGTAAGGAATGGGAAAATGGAGGGTTTACCGTAGAGCTCAACGAGGCGATTCAAGCACGTCTTTGCGGAGTCTTCATCAAATCCGAATTCAAGGGCTAAGCTTATAAGCCTAACTTTCTCTAACTCGAGATCTTCGTCCTGCATTTCTTCAGCGTCTTCAATCTCCGCCTTTCGCGGCCGTCGCAGCGGTGGCCGTCGTTGGTTTTCCCGCGCTTTCATTTGCCTTCTTCAGAATCAATTTTAAAACTTCTTTTCGTACTACGAAAATTGTATTTCGAAGTTTTATCCCACTAGTTTTATTTAAACGACAACGTTCCGTGCTACTCGTTTTGTGTTGGGCTTGGAGCATCTATGGCCCAAGGCTAACTTACGCTTCTTATCTTTTACGTACACACAACAAAATTATTTATCCTCAAATAATTCAAATGAAAAAATAGCAAACATGACAATAAAATTGTTCTTTCTCATAGTTAGTTAGAAGGTCATAAAATATATATATATATATTGTCCGGCAATTATTGACTCAGTTATATAATTTTCAAGGGTATAATCGGAAAGAAGATTTTTAATCCAAACACAAAATGAGGTGAAAAACAATAAATCAAACACTTGATAAAAATAAACTTTGCATTACTAATGCATGCATTATTAATCTTTGTACCAAACGACCTCTTAATGGATAAAATGGCCTTTGAAGTCCTAGTTGTTAAAAGAGGCATTAATATATATGTATACCAAATATAGATCAACTACCTTTTCTACTCCTTAAATTAAAACCCATTTTTTAAAAACCTCAATTGAAACAGATCTCCTCATTTGGATTAATCTAACTATTAAAAAAAGTGAATAAGAATATAGACGTTGAAGTACTCATTCATCAAATAATTAAAAACAGAAAAGGATCCTAGAAATGCCCTATTCTTGATTTAACACACCATCAAAACTTACCATCTAATGATATGGCGATAGGTGTGAGTTATGTAATTCCTACATCTAATAGAAATAAACAACAAAGGAATAATAAAATGAGTGAAAGATCCATAGAAACTAAAATTACACACAATCCATCCATATTTTACACAAAAGGAATTACATTTTGGAGAAGAAAAAACAAAAACAAAATATGAACAAGAAGAAGATGGAGAAATACAACAACGTAACATACATGAATATAATATAAACAAAAAGGCATGCTTAGAAACCATGAATGATTCTAGAGCAAGTATGTTTGAACCAACGATAACTATTTTTGAAAGATCTCTTAACTTTTCCTTCCATGGAATATATCTTATATTTTGCCACCCTCTTCTTCCTATTAAACTCCGGATTCGAGTACCATGTCTCTCTTCCTCCTTTTTTATAACTCGTCTTTGCGATTTCGTACTTATTCTTCTGAGAATATGGCTGCATCATATCCATCGTCCCAAAATGATTATTATTATTGTGTGCTCGAATAACGTATACGTTATTAACTGCATAGGCTTTGTCATCGATGATTCCTATTCTTTGCCCGCTGTTAACATATCTCCGATGAGCAAACGTGAAATCTTCCATTAGTTTTTTTCTTCTTTCCTCCTCCTCCTCCTCTCTGAGATGGTTTTGTGGTAGAGAGACAGAGAGGAATGGAGGAGAGAAGATTAAGGCTTTAGAAATGCATGTTAGAGACTGCAAATATATAGAGGACGAGATTAATGGGAGGTTGAAAATTAATACTCTCATGACTAAGAGGGTAAAAGTGTAAAAATTTTGAAAGTAGAATTTAGTCTCATTCAGTGGTAAAATTGACCATGGATAGACATAAAGTAATAAATGCATAATGAAAAATGGCTCTAAAAGAAACGTTATTATCAACTGGATCTAAGCTTTTCAGTGGCCCAAGGAGAAAAAATGAAATAGAATTCTGAAAAACCAAGCAAAACTAATTTAACCAAATTAGTAACTGAAACGTTGCTGTTCTATATATACTCACAAACCTGTAACAGTTCAAGGCTTTAAACTGTAAATGTGTGCGTCTTTCAGAAGAAATATACTTACATGTGAGTAAAACTTAGATGTATCATACAACTTTATTTCCTAACTTTAACTTAAAGTTTGTTCAGTAAGCTCCTTAGTCTCGACGCTTTGTGGAGCTTTATCAGTTTTGGCCTTGGCATTCCGCCTTTTAGCTTCTTTTTTGGAAATCTTCGAATTCGAATTATCAATGTGGGAAGCCTGGAAAAAAACCCAGCACAAGTTAGGTGAGCATACAAAAATTTATTGATAGAAGTAATACATAGCAAAAAGAACACTGAGCCTGACGAAAATAGACGTCTTAAAAGAGGAAAAACAAAGAAAAGGCGAGAGGTACTCTATTCATACAATGTGAGATTTCCACTCAATTTTGGAATGCCCATCCTGGTCACCAGTAGGTTGTGTGTAGCCGCGAACATGACGAAATATGTGAACAAGTACAGCAGCATCAAGAGCAGCATATTCTAGCTGCATAACAAATAAAAGGTATTACTATCAATTACTACAGAGCTAAAAACCATAATAATGCACAAGGACCAGATCATAACATTCACAAGGGCAAAGCCACTAGCATCTTAATCACATTTCTTTAGAAAAATACAGCAATCCACATACTACAACAAGTATAACTTTATATAGCGATACACATAATAGGTATGAATACATGCGGGAAGGTATTCCACATACTAGCACTACCTTTATCTGCGATACTATAAAATGTACACATTACCTGAAACTGAGTTAAAGGCCGTTGCTCCCAGTTGCTATTCCTTCTGTTTTATTCAATCCAGTACCCAATATTTTCTGTATCAAGAAAGAAACCAAATAAAAGCAAGAACTTAAAATTCATTCATCGTTCTTATTATTAATATTGCATCTCTTTACTACAAAACCAACAAGAATTTATACTCTGCATATAGATACGAAAACATTATATATGCGACGACAAACATGAAAGCAGAATACATTTATGAATTACCTTTGCCAGACCAGAGAGACCACCTCTTGGTTCTTTGAACACATTCTGGATATCGAGTAGCATGTCATAGTGCTTGAAGCATTGCAACTGCCCATAAGATAGAGCAAGCTGCTTCACATCACACTGGAAGTTGTAACCTGAAAACTACCAGATTATGACTGCAGAATTTCGTCTGCAAATAAAGTATACAGATCGAAAATATACTGGTATACCAAAGAAAACCAGGAATGTGTTCCATACAAATATCTAGTTAAATCAGTGGTCCCTCTTAATGGACACATACCGCTTGATATAAGTAGTGCAAAGATTGAAAAGAAGCCATGAAAATCAACTAGTTTTCTTTCTTGGAGCAGAAAAGCTGTACTGAACTTATAACATGAAAATGCCCACAGATTAAAAGAATGTTATCTCCCAACAGGACAATATTCTCTCTTACCAAGCTTCAGTACTCTTGGAGAATGCAATATGCGGGTTAAGCAGTCATCCAGTACATTCGGAGAATCTCCATATAACTTAATGAGATCAAGTATATAAACTTTGTTGTCTGAAGCAATCTGCATGATGGAAACCTGTCCCACGGGGAAATAGAAAGGCATTATACTGTAAAACATGCATTTGCTTCACTCCACGGGAAGTCAGTTCATCTTAAATGTGTTCTCCATCATGCCCAACAATAAGGACAATCAATTCAAAGAATATAAAGCTTATTCATTTTGAAATTAAGGGATAAAAGGTTATTGCACAAAAAGGCAACAAACCAGACTATACTAAAAGAGAGATTGGTAGGAAACATGATATTCTTTATTCAATCTCACAGAAGGCGAATACCCTCTAGCTCCAAAATTGTCTCACCAAACACATTGCAAAAAAATGAGATACATTGCACAGAAAAGAATTGAAAGTCTACTTACTAGACAAACCTCTTTGTTCATCACGAGAGACACAAAAAGTTAACATTCTTAAATACTTCCATATTAGCAAGGGATTGTTAAACTCAGTTCATCGGAAGAATCGGAACCTTCTATCTAAGACAATAAAGAGATGGATGAATCACCTAATTATGTACTATGCCTGATCCCAGAAAAAGTGAAATTTAACCAAAAAGGAGACCAAGATTAGGCCAGAACCTATCCATGACTTATAAGTAATAATGACCAAAGAGCTTTATGAGTAAATAATAGATTCAAACAAAAAGAATAGAGAATAAAATGGGATGTACTCACATGCATTCTTCCTGTGTCACCTGAGGCGAATCCATGAAAGCTAAATTAATTACAAATAGATCATTGGGGTTCTAGGCTCATTTTCTTATCAACCCTCTTCATAATGGAGGGAGAAAGAGAGACATCTACACTGTTAATTCTTATTACTGAGCTATTATTGCCAGAGACGAGCAGCACATGAGGCCATAGCCTTGGCCATGGAAGCAGATCTAAAGATCAAAAGCTCCTTATGAAGTTTCATATTTCACATTGCTGCCACGTAATATGTTTTAACCCATGACAACCTACAGAAAAGAGGAATTTTTCTATGCAATAGGTGCTACTTATGTGGAGGAGATATAGAAAGCAATGAGCATTTTTTTTCACTGTCCAATTTCAGATCAGATTTGGAAGCTATTGACGAGAGGGAGTTGCTCAGATGGTAAGCACCCCTCACTTCCAACCCGAAGGTTGCGAGTTCGAGTTACCAAGGGAGCAAAAGGGGTGGGAGCTCCTAGGGAGGGATAAAAAAAAATAGAAAAAAAAGAAGGATTTGGAAGCTATTTTGGAACTTGTTGGAGTCAAATGGTCCATGCCAAACAACACTGCTGATTTTTTGAGAAGCTGAATCAGGGCAGGTTAAAAGAGAAGAATCATAAACACAATCACATCCAGAGGATAAAAGGCCAACAGCCAATTTTTTGTTTTACTTCGGGAGTAAAATTGAACTTGTAAATGAAGTTGAATCTATTTTAGAGCACAAGAATCCCTACCGATTTAGATAGGGTATACTTCTGTTTTCATACATTTGGCACAATGAACATAATTCCAGCACATTTCTAATGCCGTTTATGAATAAAAACTTACCATTTCAACACCAACAAAAAAAATATTTAGTGGACGGAGAGGAAGATGACTGAGAAACAAAGTCCAATATGTTTCAGGGAAGAGTAACTATTCTGTTGTCTGTATTGTAGTTATAAATCAACACAAATATCTTCACTTTTCAGGATATGTTAAGCTGATTGTGGTGTAGTCCAAGACATTTCATCAGTCGTAAATTTAGATCCCTCTTTAGATCGTGAGAAACAAGGAACACACTTTTTTACTATCATCCCTTTAAGAACAAAGAGCAAGATAAAGAGGTGGGAAGAACTACTACTTATAAAAAGTAGATTTTATCCAACTAATACCTTATTAGGTGGGCTTCCCTTTTCATAATTAGGCTTCCACTCACAGTCAACGCCCACAACTTTACATTCTTCAATGTCGCATGTCGCATCCAGCAAGCTATTCATTTCATCTACCCAGACTACTTCCTTAATTGACAATTCATCAAGCTGCAAGTATCGGTGTGTTGGAATACTTTCCTCAAGCTCTATAGAAGTAAGAAAAAAATAGGAGTTAGACGAAAAGAAAATTTGCTTGGAGCTGACTACTTCTGAAATAAACCACAAGCCAACATCCAGAAATAATTAAAAGAAGGAAAAAAACATAATCAACTAAGTCCTAGCAACATAAAAGGCAGCATAATGAAAACCGCATCATTTCAGAATAACTATACTGGGTGGATCTCGGAATAGTTTATCATAGATCAAAAGCATACACTTCTTTGTACCAAGAGAATCTCATCAAAGATTTAATGCATGCGTTGCAGCATGAAAAAGCATAGTCAAAGAGCAATCTTAGCAGACTCAAATTTCCTGTAGTTCACACTAATTCAACATTAATGCAGATTAAAACTTTTTGGAGAGGTCAGCAAATATAGCTCATTAGTGCTTTAAATCTAAAAACTTAAAAAAAGTGCTTAGACTAAATACTTAACACGAAGTAGAGGAATCCAATGTACCTTTGACATTTATGAAGCCTTCAAGGGAATACCGTTCACAGAGTTCCTCGACCTTCTCCATGTAACCAGCTTCCATAGCCAAATATACCTATTATCAAATACAACACATGTAAGTTTTTACTCAAGCGTTATTGCACATTCACATATTGCAAAAGTCAAAAGGTACTTTTAACTTGTCTCTCATGAACATTGATCTTTGAAGTATCAGCCCAATAACATAAAAAGAACTCAAATTCTAAGGAATACATTCAACCACATCCTTTCATCAGACCAAGAAACTGACAGGAATAATATACTTATTAGATAAATCTGAAGCTTAAATACCTTAGGCGCCTATGTATAGCACCTCTCAAGAGTACTAACAACTTAAATCTTGACAACAATTCAATACACAAGAATGAGCAAGCAATTGACAACAAATTTGATGGCACTAAAATTAATTAGCAATTGACAAAGTTAATGTAGCTGTGTACTTGCCAAGTATTCAAGAAGTTGTCGATCATCATATATCCTTGCCTCAGCAACGTCCCAGCAGCCCTTTTCTGCTAGCTTCTTCAGTTTACTGTAAACTAGTACTGTCATTCAGTCAGCATTGTTCATAAAATATAGCTGAAAGGTTAAGTCACACAAAAGTGGATGAAGTCCACTTGCCTTTCTTTGTATTGACGATATATTTCCGGGAACTCCTCCCGAAGATTGTTTTGCCTTATAACATCAAAGGCGTGCTTTTGCAGTTTTCTGTTGACGTATTCTCGGACAAGGGTGCATAAGATTGGCCTCCCCATAAAAGTTGCCCACTTTTCTGCTGCTCTGTACTCTTTGCTTTCCAACATTTTAAGTAGAAATGATTCGCCAGATTCCCGGATAGAAAAGTGTTCCAACAATGAAACTGCAGTCATGTAAGACTGGGAATCTACTAACCTAGAAATATATTGCTCAACCAAAACCTTAGCCGTCTGGCATGTGTGACCCTTCTCATCTGCATCATACATAGCTTTTTCTATGTTTGATAGACTGACATCAAAAACTTCAAGGATTTTGACTAGGACTCTTTCTTCATGATGCAGAGTACCATCAACAATGGCAAGAAATAATTTGGCAGCCAAAAGTTTAGCTTTGTAAATACCATTCATCCCATTTCCCACTTTCAGGAAATGACGAAGGGCGGATATTATCAAATGACTGAATCCTTCACAGTGTGACTCAAAGATAGGCAGCACATACAGGCAATGTGCAACAAAGATGGCTGCTCCAGGTTGGGGATCATTGTACAAAAACCCATACGCTTGCTGTTGTAGAACTCGAAACTTAGCAGTCGCCTTGCATGTTCCTATTAAGGATAAAAACTTGTCGGAAAATATATAATTATCAAATATTACCAAATTGAGCTACACCATAATCATCCATAGAAGGAAACAAAAATTACTTCCACTTCTTTTATTTCAAGACCTATTAATGATCCTTTTCATTGCCCTAAGATTTCATGCTTTAGGTTTACCAAATGAAACTTGAGAGATTACCAACAATTTGGCAATGGATGCTAAATGAGTCACAAGTCAATGATTGTTAACGTAAGAAATAAGCCTGTGTCTGTAGCCACTGTGGCCTACCTATGCAAGTCAGAAATCATTTCATGCATTCAAACTTTGACTAACATGTAGCTTTTTTTCTGTTGCAGCATAAACCTGCTAATTCATCTCAAAAACTATTCTATGAACTTCCTACCCACAGAAGATAGTAGTAGTACTCATAGACTCGATTCCTTTTTGGATGAAGGAAAGGAGTAAAGTCTTTGCCGTACATATGAACACGAAAATCACACCTAGATCTTCATAGTTCATATTGCCAAAGGTATTGAAAAAAAACACTCAACAATTTTATTTTTTTTGTAGATCATCAAATTCTACAGATACATAATCTAGCACAGTCCACTTAAAATCATCATGTTGCTCAAATGACATTGGAGGGAAAATGGTTAATTCAATATCTACAGCTCTCCTATCATTATCCACTAATGTATTCACAATCACCATTTTGCACCAAGCCGCATCATTAGGGTGGTCAAATCAACAAGGTGGACCAGTGGCCGATAAGCATATCTCACGTTTTTTTGAAGACTAGAACTTCACAGAAAGATGACAAGAATCCATGAGCCAGGATTCTTTTGCTTCCAGTTTGGAGTTTGAAAGATTTAAATAGTCATGAGACAGTGTGGTTATTTAGGCATAGAGAGAATGTCATTGACCAGAGGAGCAGAGGTAGGATGACAGTTCTTCATTCTTTACCATATAAGGATTTAACTCATGTCCCTCCTTTCTATGATACAAATTCTTGAAAAAAAGTATTAAGCATCCAACAAATGATTATCAAATCCTTATCAATTGATCATTATACTGAAAAAGTTCTAACTGTCATTTGAGCAACAAACAAAGAAATAACCAAAAGAACGATCAGCTATCTACTAGTAAAATGTTTAAGGAAAAAAGTTTCTAAAACTTATGGAATGATCAAAACTAGGCCAGACAGCATTTTTTTAAGAAGAGAAAAAGTGTGGGAGAACTTTACCATAAGCATAGCATTCCTTTAAGAGGTAGAGGAAAACCACTGGAGAAACATTGGATAGATCGCACAAAGCATGTCTGGATACAGCCAAGGGATGTCGAGCTTTATCTTGATTGTGTAGGTATAAAAAATTTTCATCCACACCCATGGTAGAAAGTTGAAGGAACCAGAAGTAATAAAAACCTGCACATTTGAATAAAGCACAGAATAAATATTCTCAAACAACATTGCCTACTGTAAGCTGGACGCCACAATGTCCCAATTCCTATAAACACAATTGCTTTTTGCAAGCAGTGTTCTGGACGGCGCAAGAAGTCTAGAACTTGAATGAGAAAAAAAAAAAACAAAAGTCAAACAGTTAGAAAAATACAGAGGAAGAAGTAACACTGAAGTCTGAAGAAGAAGAAGGAAAGAGAAACGGAGGAAGAAGAAATACGTATTGGTTGGACTTAGGAGTTGCTGGAAAAGTCTGGCTGGTCACCGGAGAAGTCTAGTTGAATCAACCGGTTGGAGTTGGAGTCGCCGTCTAAGAGTGCAACTGTGCAGATTTGGAAAGAAAACCCTAAAATTACCTTTTAAAATAACCCTAAATAGGTCGCCTTTTTAAAAGAAGATAGAAAAGGCAACGCCTTTTTCGCCATGGTGTCGCCTTTTAAAGATCGCTTTGGCACAAAGTTAATAGGCGGTAAAGGGTCGCCTCGCCTTTCGCCGTTGTGGATGAGGCGATTTTTGCATCAAAGAAACATCTTCTAAGGCTATTATAGTCAATGATAGTGGAGGAGACGGGAACAAACAAAAATGCAATCCAAAAGAAACTGGCAATCCTTATTTAGATGACCTTAAGGTAATAGAACCAACTCTTCAAATAATTGTGGACAATGAGGAAGAATAAACAATAAAAATAATACATATATAGTAATACATAACACGCAATACGTTCAAACTTTCTCCCAATCAAGTTTTGAAATTTTGGAACCTCCCAAACTTGCAAGTTCTCTCTTAACTTCAGATCCCATATAACTTCTCCACCTTGCAGTGTACATATCAGTTGAACCGACATCTTATGATGGCATGAAATACTCTACATATTTGAAAAAGTAATTCACCAAGTGTTGTTCCCATGTTTCCTAAAAACTTACCCTACTTCCATCATTCACCCTAAATGGTATATTCCCATTAAACTCTTCCACTCCTTTAAGATATTCCTACAAAGCCTACATCCATAAGGAAGTTTGGTATTCTTAAACCTCCAACCCACTTCCAGAACCCTATATTCTCCTTAATCACCTCCCTCCATAAAACGTTCTCCTTTACACCATATCTCCACAACCACTTCCCCTATAGCACCTTGCTAAGGTCTTTAAATTGTTCATCCCAAGTCCACCCCAACACTTCGGTGTCGTAACCGTCTCCTAATTTACCAAATGAAACTTCTTTTTCCTGCTTGAGGAATACCATATAAAATCCCTTGAAGCTTTCTCAACTTTCATATAACACTGAATGGAGCGTGTAACAAAGGCATGAAGTATATGGGACTGCTCGAAAGTATACTTTTGATTAGCAGTTCTTTTCTCCCTGTGGATAATCTCTTTTAAGAATGAAAAGACATGGGTTTTTGGTGCATGATGGAGGAAGTGAATCAAATATTGCATCTCAATGGTCAAGTTTTCGGTCCTTATGAACGGCAACATGTGTGGCTTCGTTGGTAGTTCTGGACTTCTAGAGGAGTGAGATGAGGAAACCCATTTTCAATATAATGAAATCAAGATTCTCCTAGTTAACGTAGTCATAAGCTTTCTCAGGATCTAATTTGCATAAAATCCCCGATTCCCCTAGCTTTCTCCTCAAGTCAACAATTTCATTTACTATCAGTGTTGCATCTAACAAAAATTTGTCTTCCACAAAAGCGTTGCATGAAGTAGACATCCTAGATATAATTTTCTATATGCTTACCATTAGACTAATAGGTCTATAATCCTTGATACTAGTAGCATCCTCTCTTTTTGGGTAAATGACAATGAAAGAAGTATTGAGAATTTTTTTCAAATTCTCTGATCACCATAAAAGACTCGACTCAACTCACCTCTGACTATATTCTAACAATGCTTGAAAATACTAAAGTAAATTCGTCTAGTCCTGGAACTTTACCCCTGCACAACACTCCACTGTCTCCCACACCTCATCTTCCCATAGCTCTTTCAAACCACTACCCTCTTATCCTTTCCTATTTCATTAAATGCTAATCCATCCAATTTAGGTCTCCAATCCACCTCCTCTTTAAATGAGTACTCATAGAAACCTCTTATTGGCCCTTTAATATCATCCTTCCTCTCATGCACTACATCCTCATATTTGTCACAACTCCCCTAAGAACAAGCATTGTGATCCAACCATACCTACCTCAAGGAAGCTAACGCATTTTTCACCTCCTCCTTTATTTTCCTTTACTCTAGCACCATCTCTCCCTCTACCCTCTCTGATTCCCCCACTTCGTTTATGATTACTTTCATCTTAACCTCTACTCTTCAAAACACCTCTTTATTCATGATCAAGACACTGGTGGTTAATTTGCACTATGTGCTACACAAATATAATTATAGAGCGTGCAATTCCACTAACATATTTTGTATTACATCTCTCAAATTCCAAACTCCCCCTCAAAATAAATCCATTACCACCTCATCTCACTGAGAAGAAGACTTGCATAAAAATCTACTCATAGCAGTCGGTGACAAATGTCAGCTTTCTTGTAGAAAATTTTGATGTATGTCTTGACATAAGCTACCGACATCAATGGCACATGAAAAATAACTTTGAAGTATTCCATTTTACAACATTAGCATACCAGAAAAGATGAGCAATTTCTCAAAAAGAATCAAAGAACAAAAAAAGGAAGGTGAAAACCTCTATTACTTTGATTTTTCCATAATTGAGAAACTGATGCCCAACCAATTTTATAGACAATTTATTTGGGTCTTAATTGAGTAGACAAATAGATCAGATGACAACATTATTTGATGACAAAGCTTCAACATTAAGCATTTGGTGAATGGTGATAACTGGACCTTCTACAAGCTGATATATAGCTTCTCACTATCTCAAACATTAAAATCTAATCAATTATGTGTTCAAGTTTGCAAGATTCTAGTGAACTCATATTTGGAGTATTACTAGTATCAACTATGGCTATGTAATATATCTGTAATCTTTGTATGTATATTGAAGGATCAAGGATCTATCAGAAGTTGTAACATACATGTGACATAGACGAAAAAACTAAATCACAAATAGGCTAACCTTGGCCATCGTCGAAACAAATTTAAATAACAGAAAGATGGTGGGGGAGCTTTTGAACTATTTTTTCCAATGAATTATCGTAGTTGTAGATTCATCACCTAGATATTGACTTGCTATTTATGCAACAACTATTTAAATTGGTTTAAATGATGTTTCATCCCAAATCAATAACCTGGAAAATTTCTGAAGAATATTCATACAGTTGAGCTCTAAAAAACTACTTTACCACTAGTCAATTGTGCAGCACCATTGGCTGTCATATGTCCACACCCTTCTATTTCTGTTTCAATTTTATTTTTAGTTTTGGAGTTACATCCAAAAACTTCAATAGGTTATCTCTCTAGCTTCAAATTAAACCAAATTCTTGCATGAACCCATGTAAAAAAAGACAACAAGCACAAGTTATGCAAATAAGACCAGCAATAATCTGTCGTTCTCTCTAATTAATCCATTAGGAGCACTTAGTAATTTTTTCTAACTCTGTTAAGCCTAGATATTATAAACATCAGAAATTTGAGAATAAAGCTTCAATATAGTTAGAGTATGCAAGGTAGAATAAATGAGAAACATGTTCAATGAGCTTGGTAGTTTGACTTTACATTGTATGGTTGGGGGCCTTATTTGTTAACCGAGTACCTGGACTTGGGCATAGAAGCTGGAGCAGTGGATTTGCTAGTCTTGAGTCTGAGAGCTATATAGTCAAATCAACAAAAGCACATCACGGGAGACGTCGAAGATGAAAATAATAAGCTGTTAGTCATATAGCAGAATTACACTACATGAACTAGAATTATCAAGCCACTTTTTGGGGTAAACAAGTGTATTTAATATTGCACTATGACCTCTTGAACAATTTTACTATAAAGCTCTTCCCTCAAACTATTTTTGGGAGCTCATTTAGTCTAAACTTTTAAAAGAATGCCATCTGTCCTCTTCCATGGTTTCTTCTCTTAAAAGGCTAATTGAGCCAATAAAATGAGAGAAAGAAGAAACATAATAACTGAATCATCGATCTCCCTAGAACCCTGCTTCCCATTAGTTCCTTCTCTTCCTCCCCCACCCCACCCCACTCCGCTAAGATTTATTAGAGAGATAAAAGTACGGTTTAAGTTATTCAAAATTGCTTCTCCTACGATATTATAGCGTGGAATGCATTAAGTCCTATTACCCATGGCACTTTCCAACCACTCTCTCTTATCCTCCCTTTGATTGCCATTCAATCTCTTCTTTCTCCTTGTACACAATTCTGTTTACCACTTCGGAACAATGAAATTTCTCCTTCTATTTGCCAACTACCCAATGAAAAAAATTGTATTAGAATCCCTCTCATCCAGCCATAACACCCTCGATTTTTGCTTCCAACTAATCTCCTGAGCTAAAGCCAAGGAAACTAACTCATTATTTTGATAAAGTAAGATGTTGTATGAAGGGCATCAAGGAGATGCAAATTACATACATCAAGGAGAGCTAACTCATTATTCAACTCCACCTTCCTTCCTCTTTCCCATTCCTCCTTCGTCCCAAAAAAGAACTAATCTCCTGAGCTAATGAAATTGGCACTCTTCCACTGTTTTTCACAAATAGTGTAACCCCAGTAAGATCTGTCATGTTGCAATCCACACACTTCACTCCCATTTTGAAAGCTCCTGGTACCAAAGATGCACCGGCAATCTAGAAATTCACGATCAGGACACCTTCCTTTTTTCTCAATTTCGTGCACTATCATAAGTCATATCCTTAGTTCGCCTTTCCAGCATTAAATAATTTCCCCCATCCACCTTTGTACTTCACCAACACACATCAAACCTCCATCTCTTTTCCAAACCCATTAAACCAGACCTCGCACTCCAAGCTTCAGCAGCCCAACTAGTCACCAATTTCGATGAACCTACCTTTTCTTGAACCTTCTGACCAAGCATGTTGAGAGGAACTCTTTCTTGCTTAAACATTTTCGTTGCTTAAATCAACCCTGGTTCATCTCCATAGCCCACTTTCCCCCCAAACTCCATCTAAAACCAGTAACGACATAATTAATGTCCTGGTAAGAATGAATATTATGTTTCTTTTCTTCATCTTATGTGAAGCATGTTGTGAAGTTGGGGAGGAGAGCATGAATTTGAGAAGAAAATGACTGGGGCAATGGAAGCAGGGGTCGTTATCCTTGTTATGTTATTTAGGCATTCATAATTCATTTATGTTAGTCAACTATCTAGCAATAAAAAATATCAAAAGGGCCTCTCAGACAATTTATCCCAAAGGTGGTTTTTTGAAAAAGAGTTTGAGCAAGAAGTGCTTGGTAGAAAAAAAAAGTATAAGGTTTTTTCAAATGCATTTTAAGCTTCAACTTATGTACACGGGGAAAAGTACCAACCTTGCTAAGCTTTCTAGAAGCATCATGATCAGGTTCCATTTTGCAGGGCAAGTAAGCACACGGAATGGACCAAAGAAGACACTTCATCGTCCCTTCATGCCAAAACCCATGAACAGTGAACCTTGTGCATCTTTATAAAGCTTATGGAAGTTTTTAACATTATTGCATGAAAAAATTGTACGGTATTTTAAGTGTAGACAAATTTAGTTTTTGGGCTCATATTCAAAGTTTTAACACAAGACAAATTTGGCACTGCATACCTTAAACACAAAGAGCAAAGTTTAGTTCTGTGTATTCAACTAAAGGAGCCATTAGACTGTATTTTCTTCTATTCTCTTTTTCCTTATTGGTTTTTGATAATTACATTGGACAGAGTGGCTGAGTAATATAAAACATGGATGAGTGTTTTTCATTGTTTAAAATGACTACATCATGTTGCAATAGACCACAGTAACATGTTCATTGCATTTCACTGCCAACCCTTTCATGTCTAGTGGTAAGTTGACTACATAGTTTGTATATTAGAAATATACATGGTGTGGATCTCATGGAACGGAGATTCTAGATTCCCCTTGCTTGGATTCTTTGAGGTGTTAATGAAAGTACATAGTGTGGCACTACATTGACCTTTTCTCTTCATGCTGACATGGAAGAGTTTGCTCAAACCTAATGTTAAATATTAGGTAAATTTGCTGAATATCACGTGTATAAGTTTTGCAGAACAAGTAATTACCTTTTTAGTTTTTTATAAGTAACTATTTACCTTTTTCATTTAAAATGACCCTGAGTAATCAGTGTTATAGCAATCTAATATATAGAATGATCCCCTTACTTAATTACCAGATGCTTTAGGACAAGCTAAAGGGAAAAAAAAAAGAGAAAAAATGTTCCAATAAATTCATGCTGACCTCCTACCGAACCCAATGCATCCAATGAAGATAAACCGTTCTTACCTTTTCTAAAAGACAAATAAGACTTCGAAGATATTATATACAACAGGAAAAAGTTTCACTATCCTAAGCATCTTTATTGTGGCAGGCAGCAGCCAGTCTCTGATATGCACCAATACCTAAGATTACCTAACACATGTCAAATCCTCCAAGAGCATTTCCCGTATACATGACTACTTTTCTAATAAGAATCTAATCTTAGTATTCTTTCACCTCCTTAGTTGGTGGCCAAAACTTAGAGAGTTCCACATTTAGTTTTATCCACTCTTCTTCTCCTATTACCTACATTTAGCCAATTATAACCAAGACTAAGAGAGTTACAACCTCATTTTTTCTCTTCACTCTTGTTTTTATTCTCTTCACCAGACATTATCCAATGGGTATTCCTAGCTTTCAAAGTTGCACCTGAACTTTCTTTCCCTTAAATTTCCAATTGATACCCTAATGTCTAGAGAGTCGTATTTTTATCTTTTTGTTTCTGTTTTTTGTTTTTCCGTTTGAACTCATCCACTTCCTTTACCTCGCCCAATTGATAGGAACCATAAAGAACAATAAGTCATTTTGAAACTGGAGAATGTTACCAAGTAGACGCGTAAACACTGATTTCAATCTAATTTATCTAGATAAGATCATTTTCTAGAACTGGTTCAATGAAGCACTTCCCTTCCCTTTTCTTCTGCCAAATTAATCTAATTTATCAAGATAAGCTCCTTTTCCAGAACTGGTTCAAGGAGGCGCTTTCCCTATTTTTTTTCCCCAAATCATCTAACCACGGAAACCATGATTCCGATTAATTTTTTTTCTTTTCTTCTGACTTCTAAGGATCCAAACTAGGATTTAAAGAAAACACCAAGAACTAAACTGAGTTAACAACATCTGTCCTGGTAAAACTCATCCGCCCATACTTATCAAGCATTGAAGCAAGCTTAATAATTTTGTACACAAATGTGAAATAGTTCAAATGAAAATCTCTACACACTTCAGCTAACCATTAACCAATCAAACAAAAAAAGAAGAAATTTCTTTAAAAAGTAAAAAAAACAAATGACATTGATCAAACTAATCATGACTCACCGATTAAGAATTCTCGTTTAACCAACAAGCAGTAAAAGAATCACCACTTTCACTGCAACTAAAATTGCTGTAAATACCAAAGTTGCACTGTTTCATAGAGCACTCTACTGTGAAAGAAACGAAAAAACAAGAAAGCAAGAAACAGAGTTCTGTCGGTTTACCGTGATTTCTCTTTCTCTCTACAACACAACCAAGAATAAGAACAATGTCGCGGTGTATTTTCCGGGAAAAAAAGAAACAAGCAAAACTATAGTTTGAGATTTTGTAACTTCTTTTGAATGCAATTGAATGGCATAAATTAAAGAAGAAATTCAGAAAAACCCTAGTCAACCGCCATTGAAAGAAGCTTTCAATTACCAAAAATGGCAGAGAAACAACTGTGTGTGAGTCTCTTTCTTTCTTGAGTGGTTTATTGTATTTCTTATATCAGTCTGTGTGTGTATTGACTGCTGCTATTATGCGCAGGATACGTGACTGTACAACTGGTAACAGCTAACGTGGAGAATGAAGAAAGGGGGTTATTTTCGACTTTTTAACTGTTCTTGTTTTCGATAAGGTCTGTGTTTTCGAATGACGTGTAATAATGAACCGAAAAATAAACCGGATCATCGTGACCGTTAGTTGATTCAGTACACGGTTCTTGATTTCACCACTTGAATAAATTGCTTAAAATGTTAAAAGAATGAAATAGGAAATAGTATTATTATTATTATAGTGAAAACAAGAAAATTCAAAATATTATAAAAGTTTTTAAGATGAGAGAATATGATTTGACCTATTTGTACAAGATTAATCCTTTGGGTTTATTTACTCTAAAATAAAACCTTTGGAGGTAATTAATTTTCTTTTTATTTTTAGGAAATTAATCCGTAATCTTTTTAAAACTAAATATCTTTATTTATACGCTGAAAATTCCAAAATTAACAACTCTTGGTTTGATAATTTGAATAGCATTTCGTAATATTTAATAACAATTCATTTTTTTAAGGATGTAATAATTATCTCTTTTTACTAAAAGTAAGCAACAATCGTAAGGATAACTGAATTGGTGCAATATGTGTTATTCCATAATGGAGTTTAAGGATCAATTTTCTCTCAACACCTTCTTAGTCAAGCTTGTCACAACAGGCTCGCCTAAAACAATTTATATATTAGTTTGCGACCTGATCGAAGGATTACCAAATCAAATGTTCATAAATTTATTAATTTTTCACGTAGTTTTTTCATCCCAAAGGACAAAGGTACAAAAAGAGTAAAAGGAGACAATTTTATGGATGGTGACTTTGGAGGATACAGACAAAATTGTTTGATCATCATACTCATTATTTATGCATGGAAAGAGAAGGACACCACCACATGTTACCCTTACCACAATTGGAATGGTTATTTTCTTCTTTTCCCTTATTTTGAAGAACATTATTTGACAAAGCATATTGGGGGTTTATTCCAGTATCAAATGTCACTAAGTAGAACTATTGATGTGACTTTTAAACTAATTTAGTCGCATTTTGCATGACATTTTGAGCAAGAAGAATTCAAACAAAAGATTAATTATATTGGCTTTTATATATTATATTATATTGGCTTTCATATTCACATAAAGTCAAGAGCCTTTCTTGTCTAGGAACTGCTATTGGTTGATTGTCATTTTCTGTAGTCCTTTTCACAAGAAAGATTTTTACATTATTCAACATGGATTTTTTTTTACTTGTATAAAAATACTAACCTCACCGATTGAATTATCGTTTTGAAATTTGCAAACTTATCATTGAGGTATATGTCAATTTGAATGGTGTGCCGTTTAGAGCCGAACAAACAAATGAATGTCGATTTTCATGATGGTACGAAACAAAATAACAGTAGAAGTATAACAGATGTCAATTTCTCTGAGAGTTCAAAAAAGAAAAAGATTAACATCATACTATAATTCATCTATACATGATTTTATGTACTAGTTGAACTCTTTTTATTCATTTTTCTTTTTAAAAAATATCACTGCAGTGACATAATAATGACTTGAGGATTCGAAAAACATTATAGCAATTTGATTTCTAAAGTTTAGCCCACAATTAGCTGAGGATTCCACTATTAGACTAGATGCGACAAGACATGAATGCATGAAGCTGATTAGACTGTTATATTTTACTAGCTTCACCTGCCCTTTATCCAACAATTTAATAACCTGAAAATATAAGACAGGTAAAAGGTAAACACTCAAATTCTTTAGCCAATCCAGTAGCACAAACTTCTAGGGGCAAAACGCATCAGCAAAATTGATTTTGCTGTTTTAGAGTCAAATCAAGCTTTACTGAAATGAAACGGAAAGAAACAAAAAACGTAAAACAACCTTATTGTTGAGAAGGAAATCAGACCAAGCTCATGTTCTGAACAATCAATCGTACTTCACTTTATTAATCAACAAAAACTAACTGCCATAACAGACCAAGAACATGGGAGGGAGAAGCCTGCACTTCTACATGTATACTGCATAAGTTAAAGCTGATAATAACAGATGACAAATTTCTAGTTTTACATAAGAAAAGTACATTTAAGACAATAATTGCAAAAATAAAAGATAAATACATCAAGTTTCAACGGCCTTGCTAGAGAACAAGTTCAGCAACTATTCGCTAGAATACTTAAAGGAGCTACCCAATAAGCTTCTAGTGTGACAAGGTGATGCTGCTTACTGTTACTTGTAACAGTTGAAGTGTTTGTGTGTGTGTGTGTGGGGGGGGGGGGGGGGGTTGTGCTTGTATGTGTGTGCATATAACATGCATTACAGCATGGCTTTTACATAATACAATATTTTACCATCATTTTCTTGGCAAACTCAGGAAAGGCGTCTCACAATTCCTAGCATTTCTTACAGATTATGATGAAGTGACAGCAATTGACAATCTTTCCTGGAACACCTGAAAAAATGAATAACATGTGATGTAATGAACATCAGGCATGACCACCTATCGAAAAATGAAAAAAAGAGAATTAAGACTGCATAGCCTGCAGCAAAAGTATGCGAGCATGGCATCAATGCAAAACCATTACCATTCTGAAGTGTTCCAACTCTTTAACATGCTCTGTCTCGAAGTCTTTCACTGATGGCAGCACATAACCAGGGAAGGGCAAATTTCCTGCTTCAAGTACCTACAGCTTTTGAGGTGTAAATGATGGGACAATGCAAATGTTTAAACTTGAAAGTACAAAAAAAAATACTTTTATATCCATTGCTAATGAGCTACAAGTACAAAAATATTATTTTTTTTAAAAGAAGAAAAAGAGAGAGGATGAGCTACAAGATTGATGCATGTTTCATCCCAAGAGAATGGCAGGATGAAAAGCATGCATTCACTTCTACAAACAATCTGATTATCTAATATTAGTCCCAGCTCAAATTGATGTACATGAAAACATAAAGGCTACAGCACATGAGAAAAAAGATCTTCTAATCAGGTAAGTTAATTCTTACAAAATCATCCAAATTGAATGTCCAAGCCTAAACTGAACTTGGGTAAGAGGAGGCTAAAAAGTGATGTACCCAATAAAGTATTTAATGCCGAAACAATGAACAGAAGAGTATTTATCAATCATCATTAAAGATCACCATCACAACAAAGAGCTCAGATGGGCATCTTCTCTACTCTTTTGGTCCCCTGTGACTCATTTCATGTGCAGAATGTTAGTTCCAACATTCAGTAACTTAAGCTTAGTGTTTGGCAATGTGAAAGACGATTGCATGGAAATGGTATTCTGATTGAAGAATAGAAAGAAGGGCATGTCTTGTTCAGAAAAAGTCTGTTGGTATGAAAGGGTGGAGAGGAGAATTTTTAAGATATTAGCAATAATTCCCATAGGCTCCTGTGGATTTGTCAAATTTTCCATTAAATTTTGAAGAAACCAGTGAACCTTGTAGAAGATGGAAGAACTAATTAATTGTAAGAGTGCATTGTCGTCAGAACATTAACGGATATGGAGGATATGCAAACTGAGGTTGTACAAGTTATGAAAAGAAGTGGGGTTATAAGCATAGAGTGTTCAATGATCTGATCTCACGGGAAAACCCAGAAGTTTCAAGAGAAAAGTTTTGTGGAGGGACAAGAGCCGCCTCTTACCTCCACACTGGAAATAAGGAGATGGCCAAAAACAGGGGTGAAGGTCAAGCTGGGTTCCAACAGATATCCAAGGAGCTTAGTTGTTTCATGTGTGTGAAATTGAAAAATAGATAAAACCCAAAAAGGAATTCCTCATCAGATATTTAGACATCCGGTTTGAAATGTTGAGATGTTACAATGGCAATGACAGTGTGCTTGGAACTCTAATGTAATAAAATAGACTAAAGAGGTAGCTGCCATTGTATGAAAATGTATTTCTTGTTCACATTCCTACAAAGGGAAGTGGCTAGAAGGTCCAGATGGGTGAGCAGATATGGGAATAATGCAAAATGACCCTAGAATGTTGGTCCCCACATTGCTTTCCATCAAGAAGAACCGAAGCCAGAACATATTTTGATTAGATTGCTTAATCTACCACAAGTGGTCCGGAAGGCGTGTTCCATGTGATAGGAAGCATCTGTGGAAGATAAATGGAGCTGGAACACAAAGCCAGGTACTAGATGAATTTAAGGTGTGTAAGGATGCGCATGAGGTGAACAACCAATCCTATTCTTGCTAGAATCCAAATCGATCTCAGGGAGATGGTGTACCAATCTGGGTGAGATTTTTCGGTCAACATAGTTGCATTGCCACAAATATCAAGCTTTCACTGCTGGTAACGAATCGAAGCCTAAATGCTGATAAATGACTGCTGAGCAAGTTGTGCCCATGTAGCAACAGGTATTACAGGAAAAGGTACGACAAGTGGAACAAGGAACAATTTTCCAAAACTCCAGTCACATGTTATGGGGAAACTAAATCCTAGATCCACCTCTGTTAAATAAAATTATACCACAAGAGATCAACTGAACGGAATCACATAGGTTGCTCCAAGATATAAGGAAGAGAAACATAAAGATGCATGTAAAGGTTAAATACCAATTTATATCCTTCACAGGTATGTGAGAAATCCACATTGTGGATGTTGACCAGCTGAAGTTTCTCCAGTGCAGCAGATACACGTAGAATTGCACAAAGAATTCTGAATTTCCCTCTCATCTAAGGTATAAAGATAATAGTTAAACACACATAAGAGTCTTGATCTATGCTGACATGTTATCTTCATTTGTCCTATCCATGTCAATTTAATGAAGTGTATCGGTACGTCGTGCAAATCTATAAAATACATTTAAGAAATTTTGGAAATTGAAAGTATCCATTCAGGGATGCTGGTACTTAGTGCAGAACCTCCAAAGTACAAAAAGCTTGCTAAAACTGAATTCATGCATACCAGATACACACCAATAATGGAGTCAGTGAGTATTAGTTTGTATAGCACACAAAAAATAACAATATGATACCTCTTCTGTTAATTCCTCAGGCACCACATGATCACATTCAGGAAGTTTCTTTCTATGGTGTCTCACAAGTAGAGCTATTAACTGGAAGCTGACGAAGATGTCATCAGTTTTCACATTCTGAATGTTGTTTAGAGAAAATAAGGGAGACACCATACCTTAACCTCTTCGACATTATAACCATGTAGATGATCGCCTTTCTACACAGAGAGTGAAGCTTGTCACAATAAGTTACATGCTCCCAATAACTATTTCTCAAGGTACATAAGAGAACTGATACAGCTGAAACCAGATAGATAATCATCAAGCAATATCAATCACAGAGGCCTCTGTATATCAAGACCTCTAGAGATGGGAATTGGGCAGGGAGGGGCAAGTGCAAGGTGGGGAGTTGTTATGCTGGACGCATTAAACAATATTATTATTATTTTTCGGGGGGGGGGGAGAGAGAAAGAGATAAAAATAAAAACAGGGGCTGGTTAGGGTTGTGGAAATTAAAGCTACTGTTTAGTAATCATCCATTTATGCTTCAATTTAGCTTTCTATTGCTTTATTTATACTTCGGCTTTCTTGATGCTTCATATTTCAGTTACAGCTCTGTTTTTTTTTATTGTCAGCATACTTTTTTTTTTTAATCTCTGATTAAGGAAATTATGCCTGCCTGTATTTTTGTAACTTACAATAATGCAAATCACACTCAAATTATGTTTCCCCAACAGAAAATCATTTTGGCTACATCAGGAAGGATTCATATTAGATGATTAATTTATTAGTGTTATAGTGACTATCTAAACGAATAAAGAATCACCATTCCAGGCTAAAACTCTAACAACAACAACAAGAACAACAACATACCCAGTATAATCCCACAAAGTGGAGTTTGAGGAGGGTAGAGTGTATGCAAACCTTACTCCTACAAAAGTATGCTAACACACTAAAAAGGATAATTAATTTCAGAATGATGATATCTGCAAAAGAAATATTTGACTGCTAAGCCAAGGTACAAAGAGAAAGACCAAACTTATCTGGTATGGTACATAAGCCATCCTTGTTTTGAATATGTAAATAACAGTGGCAAAAAAGGAAAAAACATAAAAGATACTCAAGCAGCAGGGCAGGCCCGATTGAAAACGCTTGCCGAGTGGGTTAAATTTTGTGGGCTAAGGCCTAACCCCCCCCCCCCCCCCCCCCACACACACACACACACTGCCACCCCATCTCTACATCTCTTTAAGTTTGAAAATCACAGCTTCTCTATCATTAGCATGAGAAACTATGGCCTATATAGATTGGATTAGATCACCCAATTTAATAAGCATGTCTAATTATTCAGTTCTATAATCAGAATTAAGTTCCATTATTGTTTAGGATTGCCTTTTCTGTAAAATGACTAACATCTTAGTGAAACTTATTTATTTAATTATCCAACTATTTATTCTAAACCAAAATCAGTTAGAGAATTATAAACCAAACAGGCCATGACATCGCTTTAATTATGTCATGCTACTAAGCTGAAGTTTTACACACAAATAGACCAAATAAATCTTTTTGACAGTTTAGTTCGCAGCATTAAATGAACAATTGTTACATAAACTCAACATGCAAAGACACAGAAATTTATCTGAATCTTCCTGGATTAAGAAATAAATACATACCGCTATTATATGGTAAGATTGCTTATGATAGCCCTTTTTACCAGCATAAAGACCAATTTTTTGAAGCAAACAAGCTGCCTCGAGATACTCGAGATCTTTATCCTCCAAGGATACAAAGAATCCATCAGAACCATTGCCTGATTCATACCCTTTTCTCAAACCATCAAACATCTCCTACATCATGAACATTAACAAAGTCATCTCAAAACAATATTTCTACCCTAAAAATATGGAACAAGAGATGGTGAACTTCTTATTGTATCCCATTCCGAATTATCAAAATACCTTGGCAACACTAAAGCATAATGCAGCAGATTTCATGTGTTGCTTGTTATTAAACCTTGTCGCGAGCCTCGTTACAGACCTCCACCTCGCATTCGCCCTTGGATCATAATTATCAAAAACCTCCCCTAACTTCTCTGCAATCACACCCTCACCTAATGCATACCCAGAAACCTCCATCTCCTCAATCTTAAGCTCCTCAAATATTTCCTCCAATAAAACTGCCCCTGCCACAATAAATTCTGACCTCTTCTTGAAAAAGCCCTGCGTTCGAACCTTCCCTCCAACTCTTCTCTCTTCCTCACTCAACCTCTCCACTAAGCCCTTCAATTCGTCCATTGTAAAACTCCAATCCCTCCTACTTTCCTCAGATATGCCCACATTTCCCTCCATATTGCTTGCATAGCCACGGAAAATAGCCTTTTCAATATTCCTAATTGTCCCTGATGAACCAATCACTTTATCAATATTATAATGCTTAACCTTCTCATTTAAGCCCGAGGCACGGATTATAACCTTAATATGTTCCCGCATTTCTGTAACTTCTGGAAATTTTTGAGTTAAAGTGACATGTCCCAATGCTAGTGAAATAGAGAACAAAATCTGCCCCTCTTTGCCAATTACAAACTCTGTAGAGCCACCTCCTATGTCAATTGTGAGAACTGTACGGTCATGAACAGGATGGAATTGAAGTATGCCTTTGTATATAAGGCGGGCCTCTTCGAGACCGGAGAGTACATCAACTTTCAGGCCTAGGGTTTCATCAATCGTTTGAAGGAATTGTGATCGATTGGAAGCTTCTCGAACAGCAGAAGTAGCTACGAGGCGAGAATGGGAGGAAGGAACGCGATGTGACTGGAGAAGCTTCTGAAACTTTCGAAGTGCTGCGGTGGCGCGTAGCAGAGAGGCGTTGGAGATAGTGGCGGAGGTAGTGGTGGTATTAGTATCAAGGCCGAGGAGGACTCTTTCCTTGAACCGATCGACGGTGAGGAAACGGCCGGTGGAAGGGTCGGCGCGAACTACGAGGAGCTTGAAGGAGTTAGTACCGATGTCTACGGCGGCGAAGAGGTTCTCACTAGTGGCATTCCTGGCGGGAATTGAGATTGCGTTGGGAAGAATTGGGAGATTGGCCGACATCTATTCCGGCGACGATTGATGAATGACAATTGTGGATGGTGTCTTCTTTGCTTCTTTACGATTGCTTTACTTTCTCATTTTGTTTTATTTTTATTTTTAACATACTGTATTTCATAACTTTGTTTTATCATTGCTCTACTCATATCCCACTTTTCAATAGAATTATTCTTTATAAATTATTGATGTGTATTATTAGGTAACAATAAAAAAATAATACAATTTATTTAAATCTTAAATTTGTTCAAAACGATACAATCTATTTAAACATTGTATTCATTCAAAACAGTATAACACAATATCATCCATACAAAGAGTATTATAGTAAATACAGAACTTACTCTAGCTAAAATTAGAAAACCAACTTTTCATATTTCTTTGATTACAAAACTTATACATAAACAAATTAAAGAACATTAACAGGTACCAAATTCTAATTGATTTAGAATTAGCACTATTGGTTTAAATCCTAACAAAATGAAAGTCTCCTTGTTAAGAGTATATTGCCAAAGGTATATATATACTCCTTAACATATTTCATTTTGGTAGAAATAAAGATTTTCGAAACAATAAAATTACATGGCTACTACTTTTAACATATTGTGGAACTTTAAAAAATGGAAAACATAAGAAATGTCACATACAGTTCTTCAGGGAATCACCAGCACCCTGGAAGAAACAACATGAGAGAGCAAAGTCCGCTACGAATATGCCAACAAGAGATAAAACTACCGCTGAAGTAGTAGACTCTCCAACCCCTTTAGCACCTCCCAGTGTGGTGACTCCCCAAGCACAGCTTATGATGGATATAATAGCACCAAAAACCTGTGACTTAATCATCGCACTGATAAGGTCCCATGACTTGAGAGCTCTCTGAGCAGAATCCAAGATTATGTTTATGCTAATTCCATAAACACCGTCAGCTAAAAGGGCGCTGGATGCCATTCCAACTGTAAAGCACATTAGGGTCAAAAATGGTAAGGCAATGCAGGAAGCAATCACTCTTGGTGTCACCAAATAATCAACAGGATTTGCACCGAGAACTCTCAACGTGTCTGTCTGCTCAGATACCTGCATGGTGCCCAGTTCCGCAGCAAATGCACTACCGATACGTCCGGCAACTACAATTGATGTGACAACTGGACTTAACTCTCTTGAAAAGGCAAGGGCCAACACCCCACCAACAGATCTATTTAACCCTAATCTAGTGAATTCTCTAACAAATTGGATAGTGAAGGCCATGCCAACAAAAGCTGCAGTTAACAAACAGACACCAACTGACTTAGGTCCAACTCTTTCCAACTGTTGAAGAGTATTCTTCCAGTGGATTTTACCCTTCATAATCCTAATAATAACCTGTCCTGCCAAGATAAGAACTGATAATCCCCTCCATAAGTACCTGGGAGGCGACCACTTACTCAAGAACGCTTCTCCTCCATATTCCCATTCTTCCATTGTAGATGTGTCTTTTTTAGATGCAGTTGTGTCCTCTTCAGAAACAGAGAGACTTGGATAACTATCATTAGAGTTGGGAATCACACAGAACCTTTTCGGTTTGGAAGATTTTAAAATCTTCTGGATCTGAGCTCCTTGATTAAAGTCAAATTTCTGGGGAAGCCAATTCAAGCTCAAAATTTTTACACTTGAGTGATTACTCACCTTACTATACCTGCCTCTGCAATCCATGAGAAACTAATGTGAGTTAATCCAAGTGGCTCAGTATTTTTTAGAAATCCACGTCAGAAACCATGCATGGTAAACAGAAGTTGAATATAAATGCATCAAGTTACATGTTATGCCTATATACAGAATATTGCAAGTACATATACACTTTTTACTAATATATAAATGCAATCCAAGAGGCAAAGAGAGAGACCTTCCAGAAAAGTGAACAAGAGGATAGCAATGAGAAGCTGCTTGCATGTTGGTCTTAGATTACGTGAAATCTTGGTCTTTTATGTCCCTCTCAGCACAAGAAGAAGACCTGCTATAAGAAAAAGAAGCGAAAATCATTCCAAATGTAGAATCTCAACCTCAAGGAGGACATATTTTATGTAAGAGATTTGCAACAAAGCAAATAGATGGAATCTGTGACATTTAAGACATTTGATGTAGAAATCTGAGACATCAGAACTACAGAGTTGAGCAAGTATCTTCTTTTTTCTCATCAGAAACTAACAGAGTCGAGCAAGTATCTTCTTATATGTCATCAGGAACATTATATCCATGAACGGAAACCCTCCCTGACAAAGTGCACAAGGTTCGGGTAAGCTTTTTGGCACTTTGCCCCTCTACTAATTCTATGGCACTCCGACCTTTAAAGGTATAAAAATACCCTCACTAAAGATGGTCAAAATAAAATGACAGGATAAGTTAATGGGTAACTTTCACGTGCCCTTTGAAGGCATATTCATCAATCTTAACAGAAAGAAAGCATATAAAAAAGTATATATACTACTAACGACGTCCCTCATACCACCCCAGTCGCCATATTTATAGTGAAGCACATCTTTTCGCATCCTAGAAGGTGCTCCTTGTGCTCCTCACCACATCATAGTGAAGCACGTCTTTTCGCATCCTAGAAGATGCTCCTTGTGCTCCACGCCACATCACGCCTGAAGGTTTTTCCATTTCCTTAATCATTGGTTACCAGAAAAGCTTTTCTTCCTTAAAATATTTGGATAACAAAATACTAGATAGTGAACTGTAAACGACTAAAACAAAAATGAGGGGAAAATTGAGGGTAAAAAAGACAACAAAGCAAGAGAAAATGGACTTGCCCGGACAAAATCCAGATCCTTCCCAGTTCCCACGTGATGAGTCTGATACCAAATCCTACAGTTCTTAACCCCTGCCACTCCAAAAATTCCCCCTACTTCATACCATTAACTAATAAACTTTTACTTTTTTTCTTATGAAATAAATATTTCATTACAGGTATCAAGAAGATGCAAATTAGTTACACCATTAATTCATAAATTTCATGGACTGCCCTAGTACAAAAGTGTAACAAGTTACCATTAGAACAATAAGCAGAAAAAAATTCACATAATTTCCTTCGCAATGAAACCAGTCGACTATATTTGGGTAAATCTCTCTATTTTCAACTGTAGCAACTTCTGGAATTCCAGCATTTGCAAAGACTATATTACTGTAATCTTCTAAGTTGCAACATAAGAGATTTTTTTTATCAAACGAGTAAAGTTATACTAGATCAATGTATGTGAGGTTAAATCAGTATTAGTAACTAGTTATTACGTCTAAAAACAATGTAGGATTTGTATAAATATTGGAAATGCAAGAAAGACTTGTGGTAAACACACGACAAAAATAAAACAATTTCTACTTGCACTCTTCTTCCTTTCCTTGGTTTGATGCAATTGAGCCGAGGGTCCATCGGAAACAGCCTCTCTACCTCCATGAGGTAATGGTAAGGTCTGCATACACTCTACCCTCCCCAGACCCCACTTAGTGGGATTTCACTGGGTATGTTGTAGTTTCTACTGGCAATGTTGAAAGTACATAGTGTGGGACTACATTGTCCTTTCTCTTAAGGCTGACATGGAAGAGTTCGCTCAAACCTAATGTTAAATATTAGGCAAATGTGCTGAATATCATGTGTGTAAGTTCTGCAGAACAAGTAACTACTTTTTTTAGTTTTTTTTTTCAAGTGACTACTACCTTTTTCATTCAAAACGACAATCTAATAGGAGTACGTAGAATGCTCCCTTTGCTCAATTACAAGATGCTTTACGACAAGCTAAAGAAAATAAAGGGAAAAAAGTACTTATAGATTCATGCTGACCTCCTACCCAATGCATCCAATGAAGAAAAAATTGTTCTCTAAAAGACAAATAGGAGTTCGAAGATCTTATATACGATGGTGAAAGTTTCAATATCGTCCTAAGCATCTTTAGTGTAGCAGTCAGTCTCTGATATGCAACAATACCTAAGATTACCTAATACATGTGAAAGCTTCCGACAACATTTACCTTATATATGACTACTTTTCTAGTAAGCATCTAAATCTTAAGTATTCTTTCACCTCCCCAGTTGATGCTCAAGACTCAGAGAGTTTCACATTAGTTTATTCACTCTTCCTCTCTTATTACCTACAATTAGCAAATCATAACCAAGATTAAGAGTTACAACTTCAATTGTTTCTGCACTCTTGTTTTTATTCTCTTCAGCAGACATCATCCAATGGCTATTCCTAGCTTGTAAAGTTGTACCCAAACTTTCTTTCCCTTAAATTCCCGATTGTACCTAATGCCTGGAGAGTTGTAATTTTGCCTTTCTGTTTCTGTTTTTATGCTTTCCCTTTTTGACTCCTCCTCCGCTTCGTTTACCTCACCCAATTGATAGGAACCATAAAGAACAACAAAAGTCATTGTGAAACTGGAGAAGGTTAGTAGACGTGTAAACATTGGTTTCAATCTAATTTACTGGAAATAGACTCTCTACCTCTAACATAGGGGTAAGTCTGTGTACACTCTACCCTCCCCAAACTCCACTTTGTGGAATCTAGGTATGTTGTTGTTATCATCCAACTGTGGAAACCATGATTCAAAAATATTATTTTTGTTTCCTTCTAACTGTTATTTTCCTTCAACAGTTTATGGATTCCCAAACTAGGATAAAAGAAACAACAAGAATTAAACTACGAGTAACTCATCAACAATACTTATCAAGAACTGAAGCATAGCTGAATAATTTTATATAGAAACCAATCAATGAAACAGCTCTAATGAAACTCTCTCTATGCACTTCAGCGAACTATTAACAAATCCAACAAAAAAAAAACGACGGAATTTTTTCATAAGAAAAAATCCAAAATGACAACATTTGTTTAAAACTAGAAAAAATTGAAGAAAAAAAAAAGCAAATGATATTTGATTAAACAAATCATGGTTCACCGTTAAGAAGCAAGTAGAAAAAGAACCTACCCTCTCACCAACGCAACGAGATTTTGTTGTTGGTAGCAATGGCTTCAATAGGAATCTCCACTGCAGACAAAATTACTGTAAATATGAAAATTGCACTGTTTGAGTACTCCGTAAAGAAACAAAAAAAAAAGAAAAGCAAGAAACAGAGTTCAGTCTCTTTACCCGATTTCACTTTCTCTACAGGTGTATTTTTTAGAGAGAAAAATAACAAACAAGGCTATTGTTTGAAATTTTGTAACTTTTCTTCAAGAATACCATAAATTTAAAAAAATAATAAGGAAAAAACCCTAGATTTGCAGGGAAAAATGAATGGAATGGAAGAGATCAGTGGCTGACCCGAAGAAGAAAAGTAAGAAGAAAAGAAAAGGATAAAAAATCCCAAAACTGAAATAAGAAAAAAAAAAATATTCACTAAGGCCCGTTTGGCCATGCGATATGGTATCATGATATGGTATTATGATATGGTATCATGATATGAAATCATGAGATAAAATTGAAGTTTTGTTTGGACATGCAATATGAAATTTTTGTGTTGTATATTTTCTCATAAACATAAATATCTCATAAGTTGTAAAACTATTAAAATAGCCTCAATTGTTTATTCAATCTTATCAAATAAACAAAAAATTATAAAATCGCATAATAAATTATTCCAAAACTATTTGTTCTCTACTTAAATAATTGCTTCATCTAATTTAATTTAATAAAAAAAATTGAACATAAATTGTAGTGTACTAGTCTTTAATATAATCCTTCCACATAGTACGAACAATTTCCTCACATTGAACTTGCATTTCTCGATCATGTGATCGAGAAGACGAACCAACATTGTTACTTTGAAGACGAACCAACATTGTTACTTTGAGCCATTTGTTGGTCAATATCATCCGCAACTATATTTTCATGCTCATAGATCATAAATATTTCATCACTTTAACAATTGGTTAGTGTGAGTTAAAGTGACTATATGTTGGTGAGAATAATAAATTTTATGTCGGTGAGAATAATAAATTTAAAAAAGTAATTATGTGATTATAAATTTTATTTACATATGAAATAAATTGTTAGTAGATATAAATGTGGGTTGTTTTAACAAAATATAAACTCGTGGATCAATTTTTGTATTAAAATATCTCAAATCATGATATGAAATTACCATATAATTCCATGTCATGGTTTTGGAGAATATGGAATCACATCTCATGATATAGAATCAAGAGATGAAATTAGTGTAAAATCGCATATCCAAACGTTGATTCTATCTCACGATACCATATCGTGATATGGTATTGCATGGTCAAACGCCTACTAAGAAACAAATAGCGACGTTTAATACACCCAACTTTTATATTACTATACATGAAAGGGATTAATTAAAGTATAGTTGTTATACTAAAATTAGGTGCAAAAAATTAACGAAAAATGATCAAAACTACCCGTCAACTATTTGAAATAGAGCATATATACCATTCAATTATATTTTGGCTCAAAACTACTCTTCTCGTCTTACTATTGGTTCACTTCTACCCTTTCATTGGCATTCAATGTGTAAATTATAATGTCACATAAACGTCTGATACGCTCAAATTACACCTCCTTACGGAAGTATAAGCGATCGTTATCAAGTAAAGAACCCAACTTGTAGGTTGAGATCGATCCCACGAGAAAAATGGTTTAGACTTTACTTTAACTAACAATTATATTCAATTAGTCAAATTATTTCCAGAAACAGGTAATAAAAGGGGGGTTGTGCTTGTGTGAAACAAATAGTAAGAACTTAATAAGTAATCAATAATCAAACTCAACTTTGGTTGTTATCAAGATAAGAGAAATAACTAGGGTATACGTGTTCCCCACAATTTCATAACGCAGTAATCCTAGTAATAGCAATCATTTTCTAGTGTATTACATGCAAAGTGATAAGTTAGGTATCTCTAAATCTTTGGTCTAGCATCTAGAGAATTTCACCCCGCACCTTGGTCCGGCTACGTGTGTATAATTTATTAACCCTTACCTTTACCTCATATTAGACATCATAATCGATATTTGGCTCAGTTATTACTTTGCACCAATCGACACTAGCCTATTAGATAGTATCACACTAAATCTATGTTGATAATTCTTTTCTTGTTGATTACCTCTTTGGTCCGGCAAGTAGCAACAAGGCGAGTTCTAACGTTGGCCACCGTTAAAAAGACTTCTAAACGAAAGAATTATCAATACATGCAACACACTATTCAAGAATTGTTTATTTACTATTCATAATTTGTTAATCGATCATGGTTCCCACAACCCTAGTTGTGGATTTAGTTACTCATATTGGCAAGAACACAATTCATAATTGTAGATGAAAAAATCATGAACTTACATAAAGAGAATGATAAACCCATAAATTTAACTTGAATTGCAAAGCCAAAATCTTCAAAACGAATTTGGGAAATCAATAATTGCTAGAGTTGCAAATTAATCTCCAAAGTTACAAAGTAAAACTAGAATAATAATGTCTAACCCCCAAAAACGAGGTTTACATGTCCTATTTATAGAAAACAAATCCTAAATAAAAAATGAAACAAATTAAGGAAAGTTTTGTTCAGGTACGCGTCTTCAATCCACGAGACCGACTTACGGACCGTCGATGGATCTACGGTCCGTAAGTCCCTTCCGTCAATCGGGACTTAGAAAATATTTCAGCTTCCAAAAATCAGTTTCTCTGAAGCAAACGACGGACCAGCAGTACGGACCATAGATCGATCTATGGTCCGTCAATCCCCTTCGTAGCTCCATACTTAGAATCTTCAAAAATCAAGTACTGGAACCCTCGCAGTATCACTCTACGGATCAACAGTACGGTCCGTAGATCAATCTACGGATCGTCAATGGGCACCGTGGTTCCACACTTAGTCAGATTTCCCTGATTTGTCCTCAATACCATGCCTGCTGATCTACGGTCATAACCTACAGACCGTGAATGGACCTACGGTCCGTAGATCACCTCCGTGGATGCCCTTTTTCTGCATTTTCTTCAGCTGTCTCTAAACTTCCGCGCCTGAACACCTTTCCTGCAAAACATGATAAAAACACATAAAAACCAATATAAAAAGGCCCTAGACACACACAACTTGTAAGTGAAATGTATTAGAAATACCGTAAACTCACGGTATATCAACGTCCACTTAAGAACACTCACCCTACCCCTACTAAATGATCCAGCCTTCCCCTTAATTTCCATCATAGACTCCATAAACAATAATTTCTTGGGTAGTATTTTGGCCGCATCAGACTTCATTTTCTCCGCCAAGATTTTCCCATCCCCGCTATGCCCTTCATCATTTCTCCCCATTACCACACTCTCAAAACTCTTTTCACTTAGGTCAGCCTTTTATCCAATGTCAATAGCACTGAGATTTCCCAAATATGTTCAATAACAATTGCTCTTTTTATTCAAAAGCTTTACTGGACAAGTATGGATTTCTTCAATAGATAATTCAATTGGGTTTGTTAAAATCAGCAACCTGACCTTTAGTGAACAATCATCTTACTGTTCATGGAATCGGCGGTGTATTGCACCATCGATCTCTTATTGATCACACAATCAGAGCATTAAGGAGAAGACAATTCACTGTTATTGCTAATGTGTTAATCCTCAAACGGACGAAGTTGTTAAGTTCGACTTATGTTTTCCTTTTTATGGCTTCTGATATAGCTTTGTTCTTACAACCTGACGGATTCTGTTATTGTCACTATGTTGTTCTCCGATGGCGCCGTTTTGGGAATCTTGCTAGAAATGCCATGGGTACTATGATTTTTCAAACTATCTGCTTGATTCTGGCAGCTTTATGTCTTCTTTATCGTCGGCGACAATGGACATCCGTTATCCGGATGAAAGAAATAACGATTTTACCACCAGTGTTCTATCAACATCTCCGGCAACAAGGGAGATTTGTTATCCGAATGAGATAATTAATGATTATAACTTATAACTCTAGTATTGCTCAGTCTCGTTCGCCGAAGACAATAGGATTCCGCTATGATAATGAACGTTTTGACACGAGTGTTCAATTTCCTGGGCCTTTTAACGGGTGGGGATGGATCTGCTAAGGTGGACATTTATGTGGCATTATAATTTACACATTGGATGCCACATATAACTCCGTTAAAAGGAATGGTAGAAGTGATCCAATAGTAAGACGAAAAGGGTAATTTTGGGCCAAAATATAGTTGAAGGGTATATTTGCTCTATTTTGAATAGTTGAAGGGTAGTTTCGACCCTTTTCCGAAAAATCAATCAGACTATCATGGAAAGGGAATAAACCAAAAATACATAAATAAAAGCAACAATTAGATCAAAAAATACAATTACATTATATATAAAAAGTTGTTTCATAATTCGGTCATAAGAAAAGAAAAGTTTCATGATTCGTCTTTCTTTAAAGGGATAATACATATATTGGACCTTAAACTTGGCTTCAAATTTTAACATTGACCTCCAACTTTCATAGTGCACAAACAGACACTTTAACTATCCAACCTTTTAATAAATAAACACGCTTGTCTTACCTGGCAAAACGCGTGATGTGCACTTTTTTTGCGCGAGTTAGGAGTGATTTTTGAGGCCTACAACAGTAAAAAAAAATGCTAAAATGCAACTCTACCCTTAATTAATTAATTTATTTTTTAGTTCAAAAATGCACGTGTAAAGTGTTTAATTAGTTGGCAGCCATTGAGTGGCTCACTAATACACGTGGCAGCGTTTGCATTTCACGCTCTTGGCTTTAAAAATCGCGTGTTTATTTATTAAAAGGTTGGATAGTTAAAGTGCTTGTTTGTGCACTATGAAAGTTGGAGGTCAAAGTTAAAATTTGAAGCCAAGTTTAAGGTCCAATATATGTATTATGCCTTCTTTAAATAGATAAATTATGATGTATTTTAACATAGAAATTTTCGTTATCATTATAATTTTATCTATCTTTATGATAAAGAAATTTGTACTTATTTAAAATGATCACACTAACTTGACGACATGTAATATGATAAGAAATCAAGAACAAACCGCTATATTTAACATACATGTTT